AGATTAGTGTCATACTTGATGTTCACAAAGTTCAAAATCCTATCTGCCTTGTCAAAACAAATTGTCTTCAAACTGACAGTCAAGGTTTAATTTTAAGACTTGGCTGCATTTTTGAGGTGGTTGAAAAACGAGACTCAATCCTGCTGAACTCCTGTTTGATGGTAATTAGGTATTTAAGTGTATGAAATATTTTCCATTAAGGAAATGTTGGGAGAAACATTAAGATTTCATGGTTTGCCTTTTTTTTTGACATGTTTGTCTTCAGAGTAAATGACCTTGATTATACTGTGATCCTGGAAGGAGCTGGTTAGAAGCCAACAGAAGAGGCAGAGGAGGCAGAGGGAGGGACGGAGTTCAGGTTTCAACAGTATAAACTAAGGAATAAGTGGGCACTGGTAGAGTCATTAGGCAGGAGAGGACCACTGCTCTTAGCCACACCTCTGATTAAGGATCCTGAAACCTCATCAATCACTTCACAACTTCACGGATGAATTCAAGCCCACTGAAATATCACACTGCTTTCTAATTCTCATTAACTTTTCAATAAGAACAATGTCAGCATCTCCTTCTTTAAAATGATGTTACACTGGTCAAATAGTTCCAAGTGGGAGTGTAACGATCGTGAAACAGGACTGAAACTGAAATACAAATGTCCACAGGCAAAGGTTATGGAACCATGATACTGCAACCCTCTAATTTTTCATTTCAGAAGACAGCAGTACATCTGAAATGATAACTTTATTTAAAGTTTTTTTCTGTCATCTAAAGCTAAACCCCCAAGAAGCTACAGGTGATTCCTTTCCCTTCAGAGGAAAAATAAATAGAGCTTATACAAAAGTATTGTTTAAAGAAACTCAAGGAGTGGCTGCAATGTACATAGTAAGGGTCATGTGACACCAATATTTATGTAAATATCCCAATAGTTGTGTGAGTACATGCTGAAAACGTTAAATTTGTTATGTCAAAGTTGAACTAGGTATTAGGTCTGTCAACTGCAATGAATCTTTACAACTGACAGTTTGTGTAAAAAAATGTCAAACCTCAAACTTTGTTACAAACTCTGATCATCAGACGTCTTCCGTTTAATGACCTGTTGGAATGATCCCTAAACATCATCAGTAAATAAGACAATGCATGATAGTATATATTGTTTGGTTAGTGACCGTGTGTTGTACACTATGCATTGTGGGACAGAATGAGTCCGCTACAGAATGGTAAACTCATTATTTAGAGAGCAGAGAATGATTTTGGCGAAATCATGACAAGTAAAACTTCAAAAGACTTTTACCACGAGCTGGATAAATAATAAAAAACATAATTTTTTCTCCTCAAAGGCCCCAAACACAACATGGAAGATAATTCAGGTTTTTTGTTATTCAGAAGTAAAATGATTCTCATGTTGACCACAATCATAAAGACCCTCACAAGGATGAAAGAGCTTCACTGCCAACAAACCCAAATATCGACTGAGGCACCGTCTGCCCAGACGTCTGTGGACACTTTCAGAGAAGAATCAAACACTTCAAGGTGCCAACACCGCAGAAAAAAAACTCTCAAAAGTTGGAGAAAATTGGACACTTAGTCTGTCAGCTCTCATTCAACACATACTCACTGTCCCAAAACACACACACACACACACATATATATATATATATATATACAACTGAAACATACACCAGCAGCTCATCCAGAGCAGAGCCAGGGCTAAATGAGGCCAGTGGAATTAAAATGTTTAGAGGCAACGACTGAAA